GCTCCCTGGGGCACCTCTGCCTGCAGCGAGAGGAGTGCCCATCCCTGCCAGTTCTTCGTCCTCAGTGCCGGCAGAAGACAAGTCGTTTGGGAAGGCAGGTGAGGATTGCAGTGGAAGAGCTGTTGTTTTTGGAAGCTTTATAACATCCTTCAAAATGCAAAGGATACATGATCAGAAGACTCCACTTGTAGCTCAGCTCCATGAGCTCAGCCTGGCCAGGTAAACACCAGGACTGCTGAGAAGTGATGCAGCGCTATCAGACATTAGCAGAATACTTTTGTCTCGTAGCCTAAGGACATGCTTCAACTCCCGATTTACCACAACTGGTCTCTAGTGTTCCCTTAAGATCACAAGGAGGAAATTGTAGGACTACTTAAAAACTATCATCACAGAGAGAAAATTTCTGGAGAAGAGACCTGAACTCATGCACCTGGATGCGAAAGGTCTTCCTGCTCAAAATGGCCAAGAGAATCAAACACTTAAGGAAAAAAAACACCAAACAAAATAAACGCCAGAGCTCTTCTCAGACACCCATGGGCAAGTTCCCACAGTCCCCACCAACTCCATTTTCTGAAAGCTTATGAGCCGTACTTCTCTGTAGGCAAGTGAAGCCCAACCAGAGCAAGCCAGTAGCAAAGCCCTCCCCTTCCCATGTTTGTTCTTACCTCACACGCAGCCCATGGTATTCCCAGTGCACAAATAAAGTCCCTCTGAAAATATCATAAGTATTTGAGCACTCCAATTAAAAAAACAAACCAAAGCAAGGCCATCCACACCCCCCTGTGCAAACAAGGCCAGATAGGTTTTAAGTCTATGATCTTAACCGTGAAGTCTGTCCAATAAAGCCACCATCGACTTGCTCACATCTTAGCCATCACTTGCATTTTCATGATGATCTGAGTGAAGCTGGCTAGAGCCAGACATGTGTTTTCCTTCAGAAATTGTACATGAAGGACTGTACTGTGACCGCAGCTGTATCAGAGCTTAATGAAGAAGTATTCCTAAGTTAACAGATCATAACCGCAAGCACTTAATCATGCCTCTAGAAGACAAGTTCCTTATGTACAGAGCCAGCTCCATGCACTGCCCCCCTCCTTGCCCAAGTGGAATTTATCTTAATTCCCCTAGTTCAGGAAGGACTACTGGTTTCTCCATCAGAGCTCCTTACTCGAGCCATAGAAGTGGCCCAGCACTGTATTAGACAGCATTAGAGTACTGCTGAATGTGAACAGAGAAAGGGAATAGGCTGACAGTTTGAGGAGGGGCAGAGTTTATGTTCATTTGGAAGGTGTTACATGTGGGTTTTTTGGTAGCCATAATCGATCAGCATAATTTGCTGAAGTTTTGTACTTTCATTGACTCCCTTACCTCATCTACCAGTTCCTGGGTGCATTGGTTCTAGTGTCAGAAATAACACCCCAGCTACAGACTTGTCAGAGGGGAAGCACTTGTGGGCGCCAGACACCATCTGCGGCTCACGTTTCCGGACCAGACAGACTAACTAGAGTGGATGATGGCTTTAGCGAGGTCTGTAGTTATTCCTAGCTAGCCCCACTGTGCCTAGAGTTTACAAAAAGCAACCAAAAATGGCACTGGCTGGAGACAGGGAGAGCAGTTCTTGCTTCCCTATTAAGCTCCAGGGCAGCCTCCAGCAGTGCCCTGTGCCGTACTCTGTCGTGTTTTGCTGGCAGAAAAACCAAGCCACCAAGTAACTGAGCCTCCAATGACCTTTACTTCTCACATACCTTAGGGTAAAGCACACCTCAGTAATCCAGCCTCTCACCTTTCCAGTGCAGTGGTATCACAGCTACTTCCCACCACAAAGACAGGGGAATATTATCTGTAGTCCAGCGCTCACCACAGTTTAACTACTTTGCTACTAACATTGAATCTGAGCCAATTAAGCAGTTTTAAAAGTCATCACAGCTTTAATTTGCAAGACAGAAAGGAATGAGAGTACAGATCTCTCACTGCAGCAGATTTCCAATCCTGCAGCCCTCACTAGCAAAACATCTGGTGAAGCTGAGGGACTGTACCTCCCTTCACACGTCTGCTCTTGCCCTGACACCTCCTCGCTGCTGCTGAACTTTGCTTGGGTCTGGACCCTCCCAGTTTGGCCTCTCCCCATTCATGCTCACACCAAGAGGAGAGCCATTATTTTTGTACTTGGTCAACTTACATGGACTTTTAAAGCACCGTTGTACAGAGACTGCTCTATTTTCTAATGAAGTCTTTAAATTATATTTTTAATAAAGTATTATTAAACCTGTCTGGGAATTTCTCCTCTAAAACTGTTGCCTAGCCTACACACAAGGAGTTGTTTGAGAGAGGGCTTTTATGTGGGTGTTTTCAGTAGTAACATCTGTTCATTCTGGAGATGCCATACACCCCTGGAGAAACTGAAGGACTGGGCAGAAGGCTGCGTATGCCAGTGTGTCTCACAGCTTTGCTTTGGCACTTCCCTGTAGCCCTTCCAAGAGCCTGGATGGTTGCCAAAAGAAAATTGTGGTAATGTTAGACTGGAGAACTGGGGAAACAGGTGAACTCCCTGGTTCATGACCTGGATTGCCTTTTAACAGTGCAGCTCCTTTTCGAATCAGCTGGAATCAGGCACAGCAGTGTGTCCTCCACACCCTGCACGTGTCAAGCAGCTTGCGCTAGGACATGACGTCTCTGCTCAGAATCAGAGGGAGGAGGTGGCTGCATTCAGAGGGGTGAGACATGAGAAGGAAGAAGCCTTTTCTTGTCCCAGAGACATTTAGACGAGCTGAATGGCCTGCAGTGTACATCAGGAGGTTTTACAGTATGAACCATTGACTGGCATTCGCCTGTTGATACTCAGCCAGCCTCAGTGGAGCGTGAGTAGTGGAGTGGGGTATCAAAGCAGGTGGCAGAAGTGCATGCGCTGTGTACAGATGTGGCCAAATTAGATGCAGGTATTACAGCATGCAGAAGTATCCACAGTTGTTTTTTTTTTTAATGTAGAATGTAAGTGCAAGCCTTAGTCTGGTTTAGTTTCAGCAAATCAGTCCTCTGCAGTGATACTGCTAAAATAAGCAAGAAAAAAACCCAAACAAAGCCGTTTCTGCAGAGAGTCAAGAATTCAAATGCATTTACAAGAATAGTTTTCAACAGAAGCATTTTTAGCCACGGCAAAATCTGAGCTTTCCAGAAGGGAAGTTTTGTAACATAGGTTATAAGTAATACGGGAATTTTCTGACCAGCTAGAAGAAATTCAGGAATGTAAGTAAGACTGCTGTACCACGAAGGGTTAGAAACAGCCCAGCAGCAGTTACTCAAGCTTCTTTCAGAAAGCTTGTTTGTCCAACAGTCATTTCCCAGAAGACAGTCACCCTCCAGTTTCAGAGCATAAGCTTTTCCTGTTGTAGTTCAGACCAGATACAGCGACTGTAAGGTTTCAATAAGCTTGTTTTGCTGTGCAATGCTTTTGTTTATTTCTCAGATTGCACTTGGCCAAGAAAGAGCTTAGTCCTGCGTCCAAAGGGCCAGGTATTTCCAATACACAGCAGCTGATGCTGTTGCATACACAAATTGTGTCAAAGCTTTCTAAAATGCCCTGCAAATGGGTTTAAACAGCAGCCTGCCACTGAGTGGCATCTGTCATGGAACTAGAAGAAGGAGAAAAGTCAGAGTCTCAGTTCAGGGACAAAAGCAGACAGGTTTGGCCCCAAACCCATCTCATTCTAAATGAACATAGGTTATTTACAATCACTGCCTTAGCTGCACCTAAAACAGCAGCAGCAGCAACAGCTCAGGAAAAAGGAGCACAGGGCACATCCCAGGTAACTTTTGGTAAAAGCCATTTAGTGGGAGTGTTATAAGCAAATATATATGTCAAAGTCGTGACCCTTTGATTTAAGCATGGTCTAGCTATCACTTTATTCCTTGAAACTAGACTCGCCTCAATTCCAGAAACTACTGAGGAAGCGAGAGTGCCTGATACCTAAAATTTCAGCCTTTCATTTTCTCTTCATTGCATTCTGTATTTAAAGGTTCATAGAAACTGATGGGAAGTTTCAATGAGCCAAACAGATGAGTTGAGTTACTGTTACTTGTGTTTCAAGGATTTCATAAACATCCTTAGAGCTTGACAACATCCTGGAACATTTGGTTTTGATCTTGGATGAAGTTTATCTGGTGTGATATACTAGTCCCTGCTGGTAGGTGAACACCTAAATGCCCTCATGCATAGGTACAGACACGCTTGGCTGTTCCATATCAATATGGATTTCTGAGAGGTCATGGATTGTCTGATGGTAACACCTTCAAACAAGAGTAGCTGCAGCGTGCTCGTCTTTAGAAGTTTCATTTCCTCAGACTCTGGTATTTCAGGCCTGCAGTATGATGTGGTAAAAAGCAAACTGGGAAAAACCAAGCTTGTTTTGGCTATTTAAGTTTTTTGGGTTTTGTTTTTTGTGTGGTTTTTTTTTTACTCATAGCTTCATCAAAGGAGTGAACAAAAGAGAAAAATCTCGGGGGGAGCTCTCACCATCCCTTTTGGCAGTAACAACTGTGCAGGCAAGAAAAATTTGTGACTCCATATTCATTTATTTTAGTTGTGCTCAGAGTTTTACAGGTAGCATCTTCCCTTTAGACCTTCTCAACAGAAATATAAAAAGTTTGAAGCCACTTTCCCTTTACCCACTCATCTCCAATGATCAACGGAAGTAAAAAGTAGAAACATCTTTTGTTACAAGAATGGCAAGTTTGTGGAGGCTTATCCCAGTCTAGAGCTGGACGTCCTGCAATGGCACAGATCTGTCAGTCTGTAACTTAGAAAACCTAGTCCCCAGAGTCCTGTAACTCCCATCTACTCAACAGAAAACAAGTCTCTCCTCTAGCAGTGACAGGAACATTCCCAGTAGCTGACACTGTGCAAGGGAAACACTTCCCGCAGTTTGTGTGAGCTGGATCTTCTTCAGAAACTCTGGGTACCGAATGGGTCTTCACGGGATGGAGAGGAGGCGGGGAACAAACTCTTCAAGGCAGAACAGACTCTTCAAGTAAGTACTGCACATCCTGGGAGACGTGCCTGTCTTAGCAAACTGCTGTGGCATGAGGCACTTCGGTCATGGCTGTAGAGAACTGTCCCGGCTCTGTCAACAGAACCACAGGTAAATTTTGCTCTTTCCTGTGAGAAGTCCCTGAGTTGCAGACCTAAAGGATCTTCCCCCCAAACACACCTCAGTGTCACTGGACCACTGAAAAAAGGAGCCAAGTCACATCAGTAGCCCGCAGGGAAGCCACCTTTCCGGGAATCAGAGGCTGCGGCCCATCCTTCATCTGTTCTGAGAATGGCCTGCACAACCGCACCACCGCTCACCCACGTAGTATCGTGTTTTCTCTTCTTTAGTTGTTCTTCTATGCCCTAGAATGCAGAACTGAATGAGGACAACAGCAGAGAGAAGCTGCACCCATGCCGTAGTCTGCAACCTGCTTCTTCCGTGACTACCCCAGCGTTCAGTGCCTGTACTGAGTAGGTCTCCTAAACCTACATGCTGTTCCTTCTCTGCCCTGTGCTTTCTGGGATACCCTGCTTTTGCAGAGGTGGAATTGAGAAGGTGTGGCATTTGTGGTGCTCAGTGTGGGCCACCATTCTCACTATTCCCGGTCACAGAGCATCCTGCCTCAGATATTTGTATACAAACAGCCAGAACTGATGGATCCTGTTTGGGAATGGGGGAAAACAAAGGACTTTCAGAGAGTAGGGGATCCTCCCTGGTGCAGGCAGAGAGCTCAGCCGTTACCTTCATGAGAAGCTTATTAATGGAGGATCTTGTGCATAGTTTGATGAAGAGAACTGGCTTATGTAGGAGGGTTTTCCCTAATACAGAGACATGAGATGAGATAGGTGCAAAGACTGAGTCGTCTCAAGCCTCTGGGATGTGTAATTCCTCAGGGTGAAGCAAGCTGCCAGCTCAGGCGAGTGGCATTCAGAGCAAGGCAGATCCCGCCATCAGCTCCCAGGCTGACTGTGCTGCACAGAGACCTTTACTGTGAAAAGATCTTCAAGTTTTGACTCGGGTCCCTCTGTGCATCCTCGCTTGCTAGCTCTGTGCCAGCGCTTCAGGATTCACCAGGGGGTTGCACAATAGGTCAAGCGTTTCCTGAGGGTGGCTGGATTTAGACTGCTGAATCGTTCAGGCTGTGATGTGGTTTGCTATTTCACAAGTCTTTCTTGCAACAAATTGCAAGATGTGTACCCTCAGTTTTGGATATAGGTCAGGCTTGAATGCACTAGGCCTTAAACCCATGTGACTGAGACTAAAGGTACAGTTCAAACAGCTTATTGTGACCCAGCACTTAGAATCATAGAATCACAGAATTGTTAAGGTTGGAAAAGGCCTCTAAGATCAAGGCCAACCATCAACCCAACACCACCATGCCTGCTAAACCATGTCCTGAAGTGCCGTATCTACACTTTTTTTAAACACCTCCAGGGATGGTGACTCCACCACTGCCTTGGGCAGCCTGTTCCAATGCCTGACCACTCTGTCAGTAGAGAAATTTTTCCTAATATCCAACCTGAACCTCCCCTGATGCAACTTAGGGCCATTGCCTCTTGTCCTGTCGCTAGTTACTTGGGAGAAGAGACCAACACCCACCTCACTACAACCTCCTTTCAGATAGTTGTAGAGAGCGATAAGGTGTGCCCTCATCCTCCTCTTCTCCAGACCAAACAGCCCCAGCTCCTTCAGCTGCACTTGACCTGTGCCAACTTTAATACTGCTCACCTAGGAACATTTGGCAAAGCGTCATGATTTTCCATGAGTGCACGCCTTCCAAACATCAGGAATCCAGCACCACACAAGAAGTTCGTGGACACCCCCACACTCTAGCTAGACCAACCTCCTCTATTTGCTGCTCAAGCTCCGTGATATTGGGGAACAGCTGATCATGAAATCTGGGCTCTTCCACTGCTTTCTTCACATCATAACCAAACCAGATGGAATTGATGATCGTCTATGAGAAGGAAAAAGCCGTAATGTTAATTGCTTATCTTCAAAGAGGCCTGACCTTTGTAGCAACATAGGCAGAGATGTCTGAAGGACATTCACAAGAGCACACAGAAGGAGTAATTTCTGGTTCCTGCTGCTTTCAGCGGTCCCTCTCTTGGCTAACCAAAACGCACAGGTATATTGCAATAATGAGCTTGCGTATGCTTAGGAGGATTCCCACACAAAGAGACAATGAGTTACTAAAATTAATGTAGTAAAAGGATCAGATCCTCAAGCTATGTAGCTGGAATTATGTCGCTATGATGAAGCAAGTGCTGGCTTACACACACAGCAGTCACCTCAGGAAACATACAGCTACAGCATTCTGCCATTGTGCAACTGATTTCCCTAAACCTGGCTTATCTAGATGTGCTTAAATTGCAGCTTGGAGCTGCTGGTAAGTGAAAATAGCCCTGGGATCAAGGGGTTAGAAAGCTGCTTGTAGCAGTTTTTATGGAGCCTTCTCCTCCATCTCAGCCAGAAAGCAAGATCCAGCCTGGTGCTCTGAGCTGCTGTGTGTGCTGGCACAGGAGACCACTTTCTCCTGCAATCACTTCTGGTCTGGCTCAGCGGTTGCGTGGCTGCCACAGCAGCTCACAGAGAGTCTGCCCGTCAGGTGGCCTGATGCCATCCCTGGCCTAAGTTCCTCTTTAGCTTCTCTGCGTGACTTTCATCCAAAGTTTAGGATGTTGGATGGAAATGGCTCTAAACGAGATAGACTAGTTCACGGAGTCCCAGAGAACAGAAGTCAAAGCTAAACTGAAGTCACAAATCTTCTGCAAGTGATAAGAACAACTTGCCAAAGGAAAAGACCTGGAGTCGCCGAAGGAAGTAATTTAAGAGACCCTTTGTAGCTCTGGCAGGAGTTGGCGTTGGAGGTCTGGCCCTCAGAAGGCCAGGCAGGAACCTCCATTTCAGGTCCCTGGACCAGAGCAGGGAGCCACAGACATGGTCATGTCACAGGTGGAGACTTGAGCCCCTTACCCCAAACACTGCCTCTCTCCCCCACCTTGTATTGCCTCAGTCTTGTCCCCAGTTTGCCCACGTCATCACATACCAGTGCTGTTGCTGTAGTTATTTTCGTTCCTCCGGAAGCACCAACCACCATCTTGACCTTTTTCATTTTATCCACCAAGATAGAGGGGCACATAGAGGACATCGGCTGTTTACCTGTTGGGGACACAGATACAACAGAGGCTCAGCTTTCCACCTGCAGCTTACAAACTTCCAGCTCCTGCTCCGTATCTACACTCAGAGCCTCAGTATCCACTCTCCTGACTCAGCTCACGTCTTGTTCAGTCCTTGGGTTCCCGCTGTCCCCTGCACCCATCTCCTCCTTGCTCCTGCAACGCAAAGCTTCACCCTGGTCCTTCACACAGAGGCTGAAGGTGCCTTCCTCCACAGTCCTGTCCCAGCTGGGGTTGTCTGCAATGCAGCTGCCTCCCACACACCACAGAACTTCCCTTCCTGTCCTTTCATTGCCCTGTCACTCTCCAAAGCGTGGCGTGCAGGGAGGGAGCAGAATCCCAGCTTGCTTCAGCAGCAACAAGCTGGGTCTGCAGGAAGCAGCAGCGGAGCAGGCAGGGTGCTTGGGTTAGGTGCCTGAACTGGATCTATCCAAAGCTGCTCTACAGCTCCCCAGGCAGCACACGGGAGAGGGCTGGACAGTGCCGTCTAACACGTCGCAGTCAGCTCCTGCTGCTGCCTCCCTCTTAAATCAGTGCAAAGAAATCTTTTGCAGGCCTAAATAATTTGACACGTACTGACCTCCCTGATTTCTGGTTGTTGGAAAGAGACATACACAAGAGTTTTTTCTTCAGGCAGCCTCTCCTCCTTCAGGGTACACCAGGGGCAGCTGGTTGTGTGGTTTTGCCAGGGATGCCAGGTGACTTGCTTTCATCCCTGTCCTCTGCAGAAAGCCCCAGACCTGTGCCTGATCGCAGCCATGCTGCAGCCTACCTTGCAGACACCACAGAGTTAGAATGCAAGATACAGCCAGAAGACTGAGTCGAGAAGGTAGTTTACAGCTACCTGGTGCTATGAAATTTGCTGGGGAAGGAGGGATCCCAAATCCATTGATTATGTAAGGTGAGCTGAAGTCATCCATCTCGTCATTAAATATGATTCCACTGACGTTGGATCGTACATCAGAGCCAAAGCTAGAAAAAACAAGTTGGCGCAGACATGTCAAAACCAGAGCAAATCTAGGAAGAGCTTCAAGTGAATTACTGCAGTGTGAAACCTGGGCTTTGATTGGAGTAACTCTCCACTCCCTCCTGTTGTAAAGGACATTCTGTCACCCTCTGGGGGAAGGAAACAGTTTATACCTGGAGTATGCAGCTACAGGAAGAGAAAAGGCAGTGCGGAGCCCTGCTGTACAGCTCCCCTGCAAGGAACCCCTGGGGAAAAGCAGCACAGCAGCTAAGCACAATGAATTCCCCTTCCAGCTGGGCAGCACTGCGCTCCATTCAGAGACAGCCTAGCTTAAAGACCGGCACATTTGGGACTGACTGGGGTTTTGCTTAGATGTCTGAGGCTGCAGACATTTTGTACGGACAAAAAGAACCTTCACCCCCCAGTTTCAGGCCGTACACGCGGAAGACAGCTCTTCCTGACAGCATTCAAAGCCAAACACTGCACTACCAGGCCAGCTGTATTAGCTCAAATTCCTTCCAGATGCCTGGGAAATCAGAGCCAGCAGCGATACCACTGCTTATGAGAAGATCCAGATGCAGTGAATGTTTTCTTGGTGGGTGAACCCAACATGAGAGCGGACACATCTTGTCCTCTGACCCAACCACACAGGCCTCAGTGTTAAGAACCGAGCTGTAAGCTCAGTAAGAGAAGTGCCCGTCATCAGCGCTACCCATCACTACCCCGCTAGAGGGATGACAGTTCAGTGAGGTTTTATAACAACCACAGAACCACCACTAGGAAGACGGCAAAGGCCTATGTGGAAGTAATGTCTGAGCTCATACTATTGGTTGATGGTGCTGGTGGCGGACACAGCACTGCCATCATCAGCCACAACGGAGAGGTGGGATGTACCGGCATTATCTCCAGTGTAATATACTGGCTCATAGTAGTCAACTGGATGGGAGGTGTTGTCTGTGATTTTCCTCCGGAGACTATCCGCAAAGAACTCAGATGTCATGTTTCTGATCGCCTGTCGGAGAAATCCAATGCAGTTACTCAGAAGATTAAGAGTTACGTGGTTTAGTTATGAAGCTGATATCCAATACTTCAGACCACAAAAGAGTGGCAAATCCCAGCAGTGAAGCTATAGTTTTCCAGCAGGGGCTTTCCTCCTTCTTGAAAGATGGACATTGTACCAAAGGGCATTTTAAGCAGTCACAGAAGCAGCTGTTACAATGCACCCCTTTGTGTAGGAAGTTAATCAGCATCCATTACTGTAGATCTATGGAAAGCTCTCCTCAACATTGCTGTAAGGTGTAGGCAAGCAGTGTCACGCTTGCTTCAGAGATGAGAGGGGTCGGGTTGAGAGGACTAGACCAAGGCAAGCTCTGGTCATTGCTCTGTAAGTTGCAAATTTGTGTTCATCAAGCTGGGCTGGGCTCAGGTCCTGCTGCTTTTGGAGAGTCACAGAAGTAAAAGCACAAAGTGTGAAGTTGGGAAAAGCAGGGTTCCTGCCTCACCCCTTGCCATCCGTTGGTCCATTTACTATAGGCAGGGCTGTGGTCAGAGAGCCACGAGGATGCTGGGAATGTCGTCTAGTGAATAAGGCTTCGAACACTATGAAAACAGGGAGGGTTAGCCCTAAATACACTCAAACACTCCTGGTGAATTGAGGATTTTGATTTTCCTTACAGCAGGAAGGTTTCCTCCGTTTATATCCCTCACAGCTTGACCATGAGTCACATAGGACTTCACGTTTTGATTCAGAGATAGTTCAGTGCCTGTCAGTAGCAGGTGGCACCAAGCATCCCTAACAAAGTTTAGTCACCCAAAAACTTTAAGCCATGTTCCAGCCAACCTTTGTGCTGCAGAAAGAAAAGGCTTTTGCCAGGTACCTCTGTAATGTTGACAAATTTGGGATCTCCCAGTAAAGTCCTCTTGGCGTAGGCAAAGCGAAAGGCCTCCACAATGCGGTGGTAAGTCAGACCTTTCTTCTCCACGGTTTTGATACTGTCAGCAGAGAAGTTATATCCTGGCAACAGAAGACAAATGATTGTGAACACAAAGGAAAGTATACGGTCAATGGCCTGCTAATAAACTTGTGTCAAATGGTATAATCCTGAAGCCCAGTTTCCGCAGGGATGCAGTCACTGGACTGCCCTTATCTCCACATGGAGAACACAGGAGCTCTGGTAGTTTTGAGCACTGTGGGAGTCATCCGCAGGATTTGTACCTGCAGAGATATTTTCCAAAGAAGTCTCAAGTACAGGTTAGTTTCCACCCATGGACGTACCAGGGAAGTGCCCCAATCAGGAGCATATTTTTCCTCCCGCACCTGTATTTCAAGCAGGAAGGTGACATCCCTGAGCTTACAGCAGAAGAGGAATGTTTCCATATCTCTGATCTCTCCTGGGATCTTAGACGTCCCACCAGCTGGAGGGCTATCAAGGGAGGCCCAGCTCCCAAAACAGAAAAGGTGTTGCCTTTGGAGCTCTCCCAGCTCCTGCTGCCTGTAAGGCACTGCTCAGTGGCACTCTCACCTTTCAGTATGTTGAAAATGAGGGCGAGCACTGGGCCGCTAAGGGGGGCACTAGGTGTGTAGAGGGTAAAATCCCCAAGTGTGACCTGTATGGGGTCTTCGATCACTGTCGCGTTGTAGTCCCGCAGGTCATCCAATGTGACAATGCCCCCTGGAAAAGAGAATGGAACTATGGATGTGGGTTCATGTGATCTCTGGTGGGAAGAGGAGGTAATATTCCGTCACCATGCATCAGAGCAAGGACAGGAGGGAACACAGACAAATCCAAAAAGTTGCAAGGTAAAGAGAGAAAGGATGGGTGCACAGGAGATGAATTTATTCCTTGATAGGTCCAGCTGAGGCTCAGACAGCCTAAGCTTGAAGTTGGGCTGATTTACAGCAGCCAAAAATCTGGTAATCCGTGTTTTTTTACAAAGGACACCAGCAATGTCAGGTAACAAAATGCCCTTAAGAGTCCTGTTTACAGGAGGAGGATGGAGCTTTTGGGTGAAGACGCTTTGTGCTGCCCCACAGACAGAGTAATTTGTATGTTCCATTGCCTTTCTTATCCGAAGGGGGAAGACAGTAATTAACCATCACAAATAAAGCCAGTAAATGAATGACTCAGGAGGTTCGCAGAAGCTAGCCAAGGCTAGCTAGTAAGGCTAGGATACTACCACCATCTAGTGGCATCGAGAGATTAAACAAACTCAGAGTTTACAGGACCACGTACGTATTTCTTTAAGTAGAGAGCTGTTGGATTCGGGCTCTGCAAACAGCATGCACCTACTAAGCTATATCCAGAAACGCATAGACTTGCTAGACTATATATACAGAAATGCACAGTATATACTGTCCATTTCTGAGCGAGTTTCAATTGCATCGATTAAAGCGCTACTGGCTTCTCTTGGCTGTCCTATTGCCACAGATCTCAGAGGCAGCATTTCAGGCAGCAGGCTTCACCCGTTTCCAAGGCTTCTGCAGATCGTGGGCTCCTCCCTGGATGCTGGGCCGCAGCAGTCAGGTCACTCATGCTGTTTTGGACAGATGTCCTGTTTCTCACCTACACTGTGGATGTCATCGATGATCTGTTTTGCCAGGCTTCCTGTGTAAAAGGCATCTGCTCCTTCACTGGCTATAGTCTCGTATGTGTTGGCTAGTTTAGGCATCTTGATGATATCGCCCTCATGCAGAATTTTGCCTCCTCTGCAGAACACTTCGCTAACAGAGAAAGGAGATTGAGAAGATCAGATCTGAGAGACAAGTTCAAAACTATGTGTAACTGTACCAGCTGACACACTATTTGAGAGTTCATCCTAGAGGCTTTTTGGAGAGGAGAGAAACTGTCTGACCCATGCCCCAGGGGTCCTGATATCTTGCACTGGGACATAAAAGTGAACCGTGGTTTCTGACCTGGGATTCCACATTGCTCAGATTTCGCGCTGTGAAGCCTGCAGGAAGGAGTGTTGATCTTTCTCACCAAGGCAGGCCACCCTCCCTACCTGCCCAAGGGGCCAACAACTGCTGCAGGAGGGGCCATAGTCCTTGAACTCAAGCAGTTCAGAGTACAGACTATGAGGCTAGGAGGCTCAAAGCTTCCAGCAGAACGCACTTCATATCCCTGTGTGTCACGGCACTTTGAGGTAGACAGTTTCATCTCTAGCTCCCTCATCTTGGATCATGAATGTGCTGCTGTGGACCTGCCAGATGGAAGTACAGGAGACAGGCCCAGGCTGTACATCCCAAGTGGATTGAAAACCAACCTGCAGCTGGCAGAGTTTTTAAGGAAAAGAGAGGATTAAGCATGATATCCAGTAGGGCTGGACATAGACGCCAAGGGTTTGACTGTAAGAGGAAATGGAGGAGCATTTAAAACCCTTCCTGGTCATAGTAATTGCCAGAAGTGGATGCTCAAAGGCATTGCTTGAGGAAGGCTGATTGCAGAGTAAGAGATGACCCAAATTCCCACTGTCTGACAGCAGATGAGATGTTCAAGGAGACTCTGCAATTGCCCCGAATGCAGGTAAGATTAGCTTAGTATGCTTACAGCATGAGGAAAAGCTGGGAATTCGGAAAATACATTGCCATCTGACAGATTTATCCCAGCATGTACTCTAATTCCACCTTTGCTCAGACAAATGGACTTTAAGAGCAGAATTTATCTCCCTTTAACGGTCAGGACAGAACATTCCTAAAACTGGCCACATGATTTAGCACCTTCAGGTAGCTGGAATAACATCCGCAGGTACAATGAGTACGGTCACTGGAGGGGGGGCACACTCCTCATGGACGCTATGTTACACAAACACAGACACTTTTCAGCTAGGGTGCAGTGACTCCAGATTTCTCCGCACAGAACAGCAACTGCTCTACCTACCATAGTGAGGGATTGCTTTCAATTGACTCCTCTCTTGATTTGATGGCTGCTGCAAGGCCTTTCCCAACAGGGAATCCTTCCCTTGCCAACTTGATGCTGGGCAGAAACAGGTCCTTCCATGCCAGTTTGCCGTGACGCTTGTGAGCTAGTTCATACCCACGGATTTCTCCTGGAACAGCGATGGACAATCCTCCTGGAGCAGATACAGAACGTATTAGTCTTCCATAGCAAGAAAATAAAGTAATTAATGGAGTAGGAGGTAGAGCAGCCTTCTCTGTCAGCCCTGTTTTTAGGCAGAGATTACGTATAGTACAACGAGCTCAGCTTATGTGTATGAGACTAACAGAATTAACCTGTCTGACATTTATGTCTATATATTCTGGACTGTTGAAACACCTCCGTCGTCTCACTGGTAACTCAAGTTTTTGGGTCATTTCCCCTCAGTAGGCTCTGCAGCAGAGAACAGCTGCTCAGACCTCAGAAGCTATCATGGCTGCCTGCAGTTTCCAGTCCTTCAGAGGAGAACACACTACAGGAAGAGGGCACAGACTGTGTACGTACTTACACCAAAAACTTTGTTGCAGCATTGTAACTGCAATTGCAATAGATTGGCTACTACAATGCACAGTGATGCAGCAGTTTGCTTCAATCCTGGGTTTATTGGCATCTCCCAGAAGTTCAGCACACTTCTCAAAATCCCTCCTTAGCTACAGGAGTGACCATGGAGAGAAGTAGTTAGTATTTCTTTCTATTTTTGATTAGCAAATACTTCCCTGAAAGGAAAGTACTACTTCTTCTCTGGAGCCCCTGAACCATTAGCTGAAACCATCACAAAAGGCACATAGGGAGGACACTTGAACTAATAAGAACTAAGCTGATCCACAAAGATTTATTCAAAGAGGTGGAAAGAAAAGATGGCAGATATGAAACAGGTCATGCTCAGCGCTTTGGATTCACCTGCATTTTCATGAAGTGAAAAGCAGTAAGTGCTGAGGTGACCGACTAGTTTGAAGGACATTGTTTTTAGCTTCCTTGTCAGGATGGAGTTTGCAGATTGTGTGAAGTAGAGGACATTTCTAGGTGAGAAATCCTGTACATATACATATGTACCTAATCATAAGAAGTGTTGTTAATTTAGACATCAGTAGCAGCTAATGTTGGAGATATGCAGTTCCCCCAAACCAGTGAAACAGCCTTTGCCATACCTTTCAGAGAGAGCTGTGTGTTGTTCCCAAACATGTCCTCCGATGCTCTTTTTGGAGCCACCTCTCTTGCGTTAATGATTTCCACTTTTCCTTTAACAACAGAGCAAGGAAGATGATGTTTAGCTCTGCACACACCACACAGGCATGGTCTCTGTCGAAAAAGTCTGATCAGTATGAGCCAGTTTCTTGGTGGTCCTTTTGAGGACAGCGTGTTCCCCCAGAGGCTGTGAGAGTCAGTCATTTACCTTCACCCAGGTAGGATAAATCACCTGCTTTAGATAAACAGTTCCCAAACTGTTCCAGCTGTGTGTGGCCCTGTCCCTTACCTGTGCTGCTGTAGATGGTAAAGAAGAGGCCCCCTCCAATGCCCATGCTGTGAGCATTCATGAGTCCTACACAAAGCAGAGCTGCAATCGCAGCATCCACTGCTGATCCACCTTGCTGAAGGATGTCCCTGTGCAGAAGAAGAGAAGCCATCGTATGTTGGCATGCTACAGTGTCTCAGGTACCTGTAAGCAGTGGAGTCATCTTGTCAGAGCAGCTATGATAGATTCTCTAATGCACGTTTGTCCACACCCAGTCTATAGGTTCCTCAGCAATAGGAAGTTTTGAGCTTCTGACACCTTAGAGAACAGATCCTAATGGTCTAGCTGCAGACCAGATCAGCCCTCATTACATACACATCCAAACTAGCTTGAAAACAAGCTTGAAAATGTGTCAAAGTACATGTGGGGACAGCCATCCCAGACGCTTCTTACACATGAGAAATGACAACTCCCTGAGGAGCCTGAAATCTGCAGCTCTTGCATCTAGAACTGGAGAACAACTTCAGGAATGTTTTTTAAAAGGAGCTTGAAAAGCATCTTGCATTTCCATTATTCATGCATCTAGGGAATATTTGCCTGCTATGTTGCCTTTGAGCAACTTCCGTAACATTGGTCAGGCATGGTTTTATTATAGCCTCCTCTTTCTATAGGGAGATTAGAGATTATCTGTGCTGGGCAACTGCAAGGCTTGCACCTGGACATCGGAGGAAACAAGTTTTGTCTCGTGCAAGACCTGGCAGAGCTAATGAGAGTCACAGCAGCATTAGCAGGTACCTTCCAATTATTGAGCACTGGCCCGCATCCGTAGCCACTGCTGCCCTCTTGTAAGTGTGCATCTCCCCTGCCTCAGCACGCCGCCCAAAGAAGAGTCCGAGGAACAGGATGAGCCCCAGTAGGGCTACAATCAGGACTCCAGCCACCACATAGCGCTTCTTCATCTTCCTGTGGGAAGAGATAGGATCGTCAACGTTGCTGCTTCTGGGGCACATGGGAATTAGGGAGCAGATGATCAGGCACAAAAGCAGTCTTGTCATCTACCTTCTTTCATACCCACTGTTTCCCTCTCCACCCTGGCAAGCGACAGCCCTGCACATGGAAGGGCAGTTTGGGAAGGGGTGGCCAGGGAGGTGTGAGTCCAATTCTGCCCTCAATGGTTACATCAGGGTGATGTTCTGTTTTGAAGTGAAGTAGAATATCAAGAAGGGAAGGGATGTTCAAGATGTTCTGCTACCGTTACCTTTCAGTGAAGACAGGACAACCGATTGCTCTGTAACTTTACACTCTGATGATTTTAGTTGCTCAGCAAGCATTTAAGTTACTGCTCTGCTTGAGAGGACGGGGGCCCAGTGTCAGACTGGATTTGATCTAGCTCCCAAATTAAGTCAGCAACACCAGTCAGAGACTTTTTAGCAGACTCCCCCCTCCCACATACGCTGGCAGGCCCTTTGCCTCCTGTGTAATGTGGTGGAGTCAAGGACTGCATCCTGCCCACACCCTGGAGGCAGGCTGGCTTGCTAGGTGAGCAGCCATCTGTGTTGACCTCTTCTTCCCTTCTTCATAGCCATGCGGTGAGGCTGTATACATGACTTCTTCCTATCTTTCCAGCCCTTGCTTTTTAGCATGTTTCCATGAGTATTGAGCTGTGATCAGTGAACAGCTGCCTCCTCCCCTGAACCTCTAGCAGAGAGGATCTCCCAAATATTTCCTCACTCCAATTCCTATCAAGACCTTTTCTATGGGCACTGCCGGTACCATTTCTCTATGCCCCTACCATCTCTGTGCAAGGTGACCCTTCTAACAGAAGCCATTATGTCCCCAACACCAAAGTTTATACCAGCTTCCCCTTTACCCATTATTGCCATCCTATTTGTGGAGTGATCTACTTCAGTGCGCACCCCAGGGACTCCTGGAAGGCCTTTGGTAACAGCTCTGAAGTGTTACAGTACCAGCAATGAAAAGGACCCAAACCAGCAGCCATCACTTGAGTGAGAATCTGTCTTACAGCAGGTAGGTAACCTCATACACCAAAAAAGCAGCAGATTCGTAGGTGAGGAGGGAAATCCAAGGAGCAGAACATAATTGGTGTTAGTCATGACTCATGTCATCTTCAGAGGAAAGATTCAGAAGTTTCACTTCATATAATGTTCTTTTAAAGATCATGTCTGTGAAGGAGTTGCTGTCCAGAATGTTGTCAACGACCAGTGCAAAACACATCTTAGTCATTAGCAAGCAACCTTGGCCAAAGCTATTTGGCACCCTCCGGTGTGAGCACCCCCTCCTGTTCAGGGCCCTTGGTCAGAGCACCTTGCCAATGAACCTGCCACTTCTAGAGAGGCCGATAGCCCGTGCTCATGTCTCCACGTTTCCACAGCTGCTCTTGGGGTGCACAGGGTTATGGTTCATCTGTGAGCAAGCATAGGACACCAAGGAGCTTGCCAGCAAGTGTATTCCAGATATACACCGGGATGAGTCGAGAGCTATTGAAGGGAGGAGAGTCATTGCCACCTTGTTGGGACTGACAGTTCATGAAATACAGCTTGAACAGCTTCTCTTTGACCCATTTCCTTCCCCACTGCATGACTGTTCCATCAAAAAAGACCTAAATTCATCATATTGCCTTCAGGGACCCACTTCCCCCTGTGTAGCGCAGCTTTGGGTTTTCACAGTGACTACTGTACTTGCACAATAGCCAGGACACCCTTTACCTTACCGAGGCATCTGCCATCCTCAGAGACAAGCCAATCCGTGGCATTGTGGGCGAAGAGCAGACCCACCAACCCCACCCTCTGTGAATGTTTAACAGCTTAAAGTAGAGCAAACTCCAGCAGTCAGAGCAGCCCTTGGTGCCTTGCAGCAGCAGCACATGCAGGATGAGGGAGCAGTGAGAGTGCCAGCACTGAGCTGACTAAAAGAAACAGGCCAGGCCAGTTAAACCAAAACTTTTCTCAGAGGGAAGAGATTAGCAAGCACTGCCCTCTCCACCTCACCCCTACTCCTGTTATTTCAAATGAGGAGATACACATTTGCTGTGCAATCCCTGTATCTGTGAGTCTCAATCAGAGCCCTAAAGATGTCCATCTCCAAGTAAAGCAGCTCAAATCAGGGTGTAAATCTGCTGTATGTGCTGTTCTGTAAACAAATGTCAGCTGAGGGCAGCAAGAGGTAAATGGATGAAACCTCTTTCCCGGTTCTAGAACTTGATTTACACTCAACTACTTTTAAAAGAGACCGGTGGCATGTTTGCAGAGCAATGACTGTGCGGGGAAACAGAGAAGCCATTATGTCCCCAACAATAGCTCACACACAGCCTCAGAGTTTAAAGACAGTTTTGTTTGTTGGCAGAGAGAGTTCAGCTTCAGCACTGGCAGTCTCCTCCAGGCTTCACGAGAAATGCCATGGGATCTTTTATCTGCGCCCCAGCTAGGCAGAAGGTACTTTGTTTCGTCTGAAGGCTGCTCTATGCTGCGCTGTCCTGCAAGCCTGGGGTGACTCAGGCCCCGTAGCTGGTGTGTTAACCCACAGGCTCATGGCTGGGGCTCAGTAGTTCTCCTTCACGACTGCTTGCCTCACTGCCAGGCTCCTGAAAAGATTTACAGCTTTCTCAGGCAAGTTATTTTGAGAGCAGGAGAGGACAAGGGGAAACCTCAGATGGTGCCTCCGCTCTCACCTTTCATCTCCTCTCTGGATTCAGGTGACGCTCGTGAGCATCTCCTAGACCCATCAGACCTCCGTGCTGAGTGCCCAGCTGCCCGGTGAGTGGCCAGACCTTGAAGAGGGCCCTCCAGCCCATTTCGTACACCTAAGGCACAGCTCCCATCCTGCTGCCAGTCCCCGGGGAAGAGGATGAGACGCACACATGGGGGGCAGGAACAAGCACGCAGACTGCCCTGAAGAAGAGACACTGATTGCTGGGCACTGCTCCTGCACTGCAGTACCACGAACAAGCACGCAGACTGCCCTGAGGAAGAGACACTGATTGCTGGGCACTGCTCCTGCACTGCAGTACCACATTGCCCTCTACTCTGGGCCTCTGGGACCCAAGTGGGGCCAGAAAAATTGAATACTCTTAATAAAAGTGCATCTGTGCAATCTGTCAGATTGATGCTGCTAAGGAAGAAGCAAACGTGCAAGCGAAAGATCTGCAGCTGTCTCTTCTGCAACAGTAGAGAGAGCAAACTGAGCTCAGAATAATCCTCTCCACCTTAACTGCCAGCTCAACTCCCATAAGCTCCTTAACATATTTCAGGCCTGACCCTAGAGGAAAGCATCCCCTGCACAGTCCTTACTGCCTTCCTAACTGTGGCACAGCAGAAAGCCGAACAGGCATTTCGTTTGCTGTACAGCAATCAGGAGGTGGATCAGGAGCCTGCAGATACCCGCTTTCCAGCACACCTCTCCGTACTTGCCTTGTGCCCTCGGTAGGTGCATTGCAGGAACAGCTGAGGTTTTGTACCAATGGCCTTTTTGAGTCTTGGCTCTGAAGTCGAGTCCCCACTATGATTTATTGTTGGGAGTGGAGCAGCAGCTGTGTGCCACCACCTGAGGTGGCTCTCCAACTATTATCTGCTGAGGCTGGCTTTAACCTCCAGACCTCTGCCAAACCCAGCTGTTTGGAAGCTTGGCTAGCAATTCAGTCACACCACTCTGCTTGGCAGCAGCAATAGGTCTCCACGAGACAGGGGCTATAAAGCCATTGAAAGCAGTATGATTATTTCTCACTCTTCTAACCAACAGCCAGTCCTAGCCATGGAATTTAAAATGCAGCTTGATACTCTGTCTTGATGTACATTCGGAGAGGGGAAGAACCAGCACATGGCAGAGTTGCGCCTATATGAGCAACCTCATGGAGCTATATTACACGTGTCACAACATTCACAGCCTTATTTAAACATGACACTGGTTTTGAATTAGAAGAAACCCAGTGCAACAGGCTAGCTAGTGTCAGTCAGGGGATACAGGGTCTGACATCTCTGCCAAGAGGGCTGGAGGAACCTGTAGAGATGAGGAACCTGCCACGGTCAGGGAAAGCACCATGAGAACTGAAAGAAGAGAAGGAGGAGATTTACCAGCCAGAAAGCAGGGCAGAGACAACAGTGAGATACCAGAGGATGACAAAGGAGTCCCATTATGGTCAGGCACTGCCTTATTCTTAAATGAAGTAGTGAAGAAATCATCCACTGACAATGTCTAAAACTTTAACCACAAACTTTAACCAAACAGGCTTCTGCTTTAAACCCATCTTGCAACAGCTGCATGCCTCAGCATCCACTCCTAAGAGTTCCTTGTACCGCAGCCCAGTAGCCAATACTTGGCCGTTAGCTTGAGACATCCATCCTTACTCTCCCCAGGCAGCACACGTTATGCAGGGATAGGCTGGACATCGGGAGTCTTGTCACAGGACATAAGTTATGCTCTTCTGATAAAACTCAAAGTCTAATTCATATCAATAACATTGCCGTATTTAAATAACTAATAACAAGCAGTTGAAATCCCCCTCCCTGGAAGTGTTCAAGGCCAGGTTGGACGGGGCTTTGAACAACATGGTCTAATGGGAGGTGTCCCTGCCCATGGCAGGGGTGTTGGAACTGGATGGTCTATAAGGTCCCTTCCAACCCAAACCACTCTGTGGTTCCATGAAATAATGTTTTCACACTCTACTATTGTGTAGAGTGAACTGTCAGTGACTTTTGAGTGAGCAGGTATGTAAAGCGAACAGCCACAAGATTGCCACCAGACCCCCAGGAGCGTAAGCCAACAGAGGCCTCAAAAGAGCAGAACCAGGTTACCATGTGACAACCTAATGAAGGTGCCTGCAACTGATCACACAGGTGGAACCACCTCTGAAGTGTATATGAGACTATAGCACAGCAACTTGTGCTGACACCGTACTTCAGGATCGGGTATGCAGAACCGATCACTCTGACACCCCGTCTCGCTA